CTCGGCTTAGTGAAGTTCTTGTCAAGAAGTGATTTCACTGCATCGAATACTGAATATTCAGTAAGTCAGGGATTGAAATAAATGTAACAACATGTTAGCAATTTTCAGGTCATAATTTATCACTTGATATACAAACAGCAAGAGCAAGACAAATCTTGTCATGAATTTAGATGAGATTAGTACTTTCTGAAAACCAGAAGTAGCCAACTGTATGATACGGTATGTTGGACAGGTGACCTTTACGGACAGGTAGCACTGTGAGTGTAGGAACATGAAGCAGATAACTGTCATTTTGCCCTAAAGCCCTTATTAAGACAGTAAATTAAACAGATGTTTGCACACTATAATCACAGTACTATTTGTATTTAGAGATAGAAAGGAGACCTGCCCTCTTTCATAAGAGATTGTTTGCCAACAACTTCTTCCAATGCTGGATTTTCTACACAATAAGGACTACAGTTTGACATTTGATAACACTATCTAATAGGAAGTATTTGTGCTCTCTCAGTGTTAGCATAAGACTCGGTAAATGCCAGTCAATGTTTACAAACTTCATTCACTTCCTTTGTGAAAAGACCAATATTTAATCAATAGACTCAAGCCCTGAAAGAGAAGCAAAGATTTAAATTTTATTTTTGACAGAGCAGAAATTTATCGCATTGCTCCACCCGGTAGTGCAAAGTGAAGCTATAAAATGTCATATGCTACTTCGGGATTAAAGAGAATCAAAATCTGTCTGGAAAGATGTATTAAAAAGTTATCCCAATGCACACAAGTTAGCCATGTAACTGAATCACTTCGCAGTTAACAAAAATTCTCACATGCTTACAAACTGATCAGCAGAGGCCTAGCCTCACTTTAAAAATATTGTTATTGTAATATCTTGTATTACAGGCCACAACTCCAAAACAAGTGAATACAGGCATTGCAGACATGCTTCCTGTCCTGAAATATCTGGGCCATCACACTGTGCCAAAGCCAAACTTCTGTCAAAACAGAAAGCAAATACTGAAGAATATGAGTGGCCTAGTAATTATGTTATCAAATCTTTGCTTTGTAACGTGGACTTCAATTTATCTGATAAAAGCATTAAAAAATAGAAAGGCCTGATGAGGGTTAAAAAGGGAAGAGGAAATTAATTTTTCCTTCTGGCTTACAAGCTGCTCAGCTCATTTCTGTATTTACATATCCATTTCTTGGAACATAAGAGGATTAATAAAAGGGCTTAAAAACTGTTCACCTTCAGCTCCCGACTGTCAATAACCTCAGCATTTCATTAGATGCCACATGAATACACATTCATTTGACTCCTTCCTGAATGGCTTCATAGAATCAGAAATTAGAGAAGCAAAAGGCCCATTAGGACATTTAATGCAGCAACCAGCCAGAGCAGAGTACTTGCCTACTCTATGCTTGTTGTCCAACTTCATTTTAAAGCAGTGGCCCCCAAACTTTTGAGGGTAGTGCCCCCCTTACTCCTGTCTGCACTCCATGACTGCCAGGGGGGTGGGGAGGAACTGGACATGGACAGGGGTAAGGGGGCTGGAGCTGGGGCTGGGAACGGAGACTTGGACAGGGGCTGAGGCGGCCAGGCTGTGGTGGAGGCTAGCAGCTGCAGCCAAGGCCGGGGGCTGAGCAGGGTTGGTGGCTCTCCCTCCCCATCCCCCATGGGGGCTGGCCCTGGCCCTGCTGTGTCCCCCCAAACGGTCCTCTGTGACCCCCTGGGGGGTGGGGAAGACGTCCCACAATTTGGGGACTGCTGTTTTAAAGGGACACCATGAACTTAGAACAACCCAACACTTCTGTCTGTTACAAGTGACATGTAAAATTAAGTGGAAGAGATCAGTATTAGAGACCACTCCTTATACCTGAATGTAAAAGTTAACTTAATGTTGTATTAATGTTGCAGCAAATAATTATATAAAGCGTTCAGAAACCCACTGAGCATGCTTAGATGTGATTTCTCAATTGCTTATTAATTTTGGTTTTAAATTGCACCCATCCAAGCCTACCATAGGCTATAGACTAGTTAGAAGGAGGATGAAGGGCATAGTTGTGAGAGTCAGGCATTCTGGGTTCTTAGTCCTGGTTCTGCCACTAATTTGTCATGTGACTGGACAAGTCATTTAAACACAGTTTTCCACATCTATAGAATTATAACACTTTCCGAGCTCATAGGGTATTGTAAGGGTTATTTGTTTGTAAAATGCTTTAAGATACTCAGAGGAAAGGCACAATAGAAAAGTGCAAAGTGCTATTACACGTTTCCCAGTTACAGGAAAAATGGCTGAAGTTTGAGACAGGGGCCAGACTTTTAAACAATAAATTTAAATTCATCTTTCAGTGAAAGATATCAACCACTTATTCCAATGGAAATTTGCATTCCAGTGATCAATATACTCCTTACCAATTCTTATGCAGAATGGCTCTATGGAACCCTATGGGCCCGTTCCTGCTCCCACTGAAGCCTGGTCTCAGCTGGGGCCTCTAGATGCTACTGCAATATATATAAATAGCAGCAGCATATCTCCCCTTAATTTCAATAGGCACAAGCTCTATGAGCATAAAGCGTTTTGCCAACATTTAGTGACTAAGCTCTTTCTTGAAATCCCACCATGTACACAGCTTTTCCACAATACCTATCAATGATAAGCCACACTAGAATTAATATATTAGAAAAACTTCCACTGAAGTGTAGGACACACAGCATCTGTAAGATGCCACCTTACTTGTCAGTACAATCAGGATCTACATATTCAATTATTTTCAAACCAAGATCTGTCCCAGCAACGAGAACAGGAATCCAAGAGTCATAAACATTGTGAAGGAGGGATATGTTTAGATCACATAAAAATTTTTGCCATTCTTTCAGACAGATACTTTTAAGCAGTACAGATGGAAAGTTGTTTTGCTAATACAGTGTAATTCTGTTTAAACAAAGACTGGTTAAGTTTCTTGATAGATAGCACAAGAATCCATACTTTGGTTATCTACTTTACCAGATGTAAAGTACTGATTATTGGAACTGGTAAGACAAAACATTGCAGTTCATAAGACTTGTGCTAATTTTTGGAACTAATTAGTAGAAAATAAATCTTTTTTTCTGTACAAAATACTATAATCACATTGACTTCAGAAGACAAATACACCTCTACCTCGATATAACGCTGTCCTCGGGAGCCAAAAAAATCTTACTGCGTTATAGGTGAAACCGCGTTATATCGAACTTTTTTGATCCACCAGAGTGTGCAGCCCCCCAGAGCACTGCTTTACCATGTTATATCCGAATTTGTGTTATATCGGGTCACGTTATATTGGGGTAGAGGTGTATATAAATGGCACAAGTCAGTCATATTCAGATCTTATCCTACATCCACTAAAAAAATCATTGCTATGCTGGCATCGGGTCATTAGTGCTGTATGGAAGGACCCTAGTACCTATGCATTATATTGCACTGAGTGCACTAGAGAATACACATTTTGGGAAAATAAAAGGTTATCAGCCAAGAATTTAGACTTTATACCTAGAAAACGTATGCTGCTCCCAATCTGCATAGTTGCAATGTTTTGGAAATAGCTCTTCCTCTTTCAAATCCGGTAAACACCTTCCCCAGTCTTCAGATATATCACAAAATCTGTCAGTTGCCATTCCTGAGGGACTGGTTAAAAGGCACTAAGTGCATCACAGTTACCAATCTGTGTAACTCCCAGTTTGCTTTTGACAGGTTGAGCTTTTCTTGACAGGTTGACTATGTGGAAGGAGAGCGGTGCTTGTATGAAGGATTCCTTCTAAAGGAATGGGGAGTATCTCCTTGTTTGCCTCACAAGCTATCTTCTGCACCAAAACAGCAGTTGTAAAACAGGGATTTGATTCAGTAAAACTTGATTTTGAGGGAAAATCTACTGTGCTCTCTTTTTAAAGTTTGATTCTAACGTTCTGTCCACACTACAACTTTCAAGCCCAGTTAAGGAAACCAGCACAGTTTAAAAGAGAGCTGCACAATAAGTTTTTACAAAACTATTTTTGAACTCTGACCGGGGAGACAGTCTAACACAACGCAGTTGTCATGTGGAAAGAGCTTTGTAGCATTTGCTGCAGAACTCCACCAGTTCTCCCCAAAACTTCCACAAGACACAGTAAGATACCAACAAAGGTTACATCTCTTTCCAAACCAGGAAGTACGTACACACAACTTTGGCAAGACTGCACATTCCAAGTAATGCAGTTATGTAAACTTTCTGAGATAAAATGTATTAATCCTACAGAAAAAAATATACAGCAAAATAGACAACAAAAAAGCAAACCACCTTATCCTCAACTTTGTTAAGTCACTAAATGCCTGATTTACATCTGGCACCTTTATTCTCATCTTCTCAACAGAACATGATTTGCCTTCTGCAGCTTTGTCCTCAGCAGAACAGATCCCTGATCTGCAGTGAAACCTGCTAAACCACAAATATCATTCTGGGATGATACATCTCATAGTCTCCAGGGACGGAGAATTGATTTGGGAGCATGGAATCATAAGATTATACCTGGGGGGGGAAAGAAAAATCTCCCAGGAAGGTGACCGAAAACCTGCTGATCCACAGAAAGGAATGGGAATAGCTGCATGTGGATTTGTATTTGGAGAGTGGGAAAGGGTACCTCAAATACAGGACTTTATTAGTCAAAATCAGCAAAGCTCCTGGCTGACAACATCAAAACACAGCTCTGTGAAAAGGTGCTAAAGGAAACCTATCAGATTTAGGAAGTGGGATTTTAATGTAACCCTGTGTGATACAAACAAAAAAAAGGTTCTTAAGGTTTCAAGGAAGAAGTGGAAAACCTTCTACAAAGAACAGATTCCTGCCCTCTCCCATTCTTAACCTTAGTCAAGCTAAGGAACATAGGAGTAAATTTAATTCTTTGTAAGATCATTAGCTAAGGAAGAAGTTGAGGTTATGGGGTAAGCCCAGGTACTGCAAACTGTGGTTTATTTTAGAGAGATAAGACTTACCTATTTTGGGATGGGAAGTTGGCAGTGCAGCTTCTGGAAAAGGTGAAATCTGACAATTGTCCTGATAACTTGGATAGTGAGGTTCTGGATGACTGACACGGCAAGGTTGCTGGACAGTAGTATCTTGAACTATTGGAAGAAGGAACGGTATTATAAACCCATAAAGCACTTGTTATACATTGCTTTGACATTTTTTGTATTTAGATTAACGTGGGTTTCCAAAATCTGTGGTAACTATAAGCATTATGAATGCTTCTGGAAACAATGGTGTGATTTTCATGGGGCGCCAGGTTTGTATAATTTTTGGTGGTGCCCAGAACAGATCCAAGCAGAGCCATCCTGTCCATAAGAGGGACCAGGGCAACCACCCCGGGCCCTGCGCTTTGCGGGGCCCCGCGCTTTGGGGAGATGCAGGGTCCAGGGCAGCCTGGGGGGTTAGCGGGGGGCCTGGCACCGGCAGCAGCAAGCGACCCGGCCCCAACCCGCCCTGCCGGCTCCTGGCGTCACTTGGGGGAGGGGGCCGAAGCCAGAAAAAGGTGGGGCGAGGGCTTGGGGGAAGGGGTGGAATGGTGGCAGGGAGGGGGCGGAGCAGGAGCAGGGTGGGCTAGGTCGCTTGCTGCTGCTGGCGCCAGCAGCCCGCTAACCCCTCAGGCTGCCCTGGACCCCGTGTCCCCCTGAAGCGTGGGGCTCCCCAAAGCACAGGGCCCAGGGCGTTGCCCCGGTCCGTCCTATGGACGGGGTGGTTTTGAAAATTTAAGCCCAAACATTGGTGGAGCCAGGCCCACATTCCTGAATATTGGTGGAGCATGGGCCCCACGGGCCCATATAACTCGCTACCTATGATAATTTGACATTGCTGCCAGACAAAGAGTCCATCCACTGTTACGCCATGTGAGTCTCCTCTTTCACTTTTTAAGGTTTCTACAAAGACTATCACCCCTCCCCTCCAAACTTCTATATTGTCAAGATCATCCAAAGATTCCAAAATGCTTGATAAAGGTTTTATGATTCTCAAAGATGGCACAGTACAGATGTTCAGGACTTGCCCAAGGTCACACAGTAATTCTAAGGCGGGGCTGACACTAGAACCCAGGTCTCCTGGCTGCCCGTTCTGTGTTCTAGACACTATGCCATAAACAACTACTGGTAAGCGAGCATGGAGCTGAACAGCAATGTGCTGAAATCTCACACCACACCTTAAATAGGTTTGCAATATACTACAGCAGTGGTTCTCATCCTATTTACCACTGTGAGCCGCATATGCAGCTTTCTATGTGTTATGTGGCCCGCATCCAAACAAAATATATACTACCCGTATGGCCCTGATGTCACATGGGCCGTAGCTGTGTGCTGATTGGGCCGCAAACAGCCGGCGGGCTGAGAACCACTGTACTAGAGTGATTCGGAATACCCTATTCTCCTCATTCCCTTCTCTTTTCATGTTGTGCACCTCAATGTTGCATAGAAGGCAAAAGCCTGTATTAAACTATAGGAGAGAGAGCTAATAAAGCCCAAATACATAATCTAGCTCAAAACTCACATCTCTCCTGGCAGATTGCATTATCTTATGTTCTACTCCCTCTATGCACAGTGTTTCCTCTCCAACTATCTGAAAGCCACTGCACTGCATTACAGTTCATTAGCCTACCTCTCCCTGGAAAAAATATTTGGTGGGGCTTCATATGAAGGCTGTTATATGAAAAGAACTGTTGTACAGTACACTGTACATAAATCAAGTTAGTCTAGTAGCTAATAATCACTTATGAATAAATAACTCTTATTACAGCAACAATATGCAGCCATATTTTTCATTTTCAATATGCTTTAAATAATACACTTAAATAATACACTCTCATATAGCACTTGTCATCATTAGACCTCACAGCACTCTACAAAAGGAGGCTAGTATCAGTAGCCCCATTTTACAGATGGGGAAACTGAGGCACAGAGCAGTTAAATGACTTGCCCAAGGTCACATAGCAGGCCAGCAGGAGTGACACAGGTCTTGTGTGTCCCATTCCAGTGCCCTCTCCACCATACCACACTGCCCCTCAAACAGTATCTCACCATGTTCTATCACCATACCACTATATCTTAAAGTAAACGTCCCATACCAGTTTTGCACCCACCAAAACTTGGCCATGCAAAATTGTTTGCACAAAAAGTGGACACACAAGACTTCAACAGATATTCAGAGGGTGGGTTGAGGCCCTTTCAGAAATTTTGCCCATAGTATGGTAACTACATTTCAGTGTCACTATTCTACACATTGCAAGGTTAATACAAAGAAAACTTTAGTTCCACTGAACTTGCCTTCAGACTGTATTCCTTTTGTATGTAATTTCCAGGCTGGTAGTGTGCATAGGTTAGAGCAGTGGTTCTCAACCAGGGGTACATGTACCTCTTGGGGCATGCAGAGGTCTTCCAGGGGGTACATCAACTCATCTAGATATTTGCCTAGTTTTACAACAGGCTACAGAAAAAGCACTAGCGAAGTCAGTACAAACTAAAATTTCATAAAGCCAGTGACTTGTTTATAATGCTCTACATACTATACACTGAAACGTAAGTACAATATTTATATTCCAATTGATTTATTTTAGAATTCTATGGTAAAATGAGGAAGTCAGCAGTTTTTCAGTAAAATGCTGACACTTTTGTATTTTTATGTCTGATTTTGTAAGCAAGAACTTTTTAAGTGAGGTGAAACTTGGGGGTATGCAAGACAAATCAGACTCCTGAGAGGGGTACAGTAGTTTGGAACGGTTGAGAACCACTGGGTTAGAGGCACAGAGTTTAAGGCCAGAAGGGACCACCAGATCATCTAGCCTGACCTGTATATCACAGGCCACCGACTTCGTACAGCACCCGCACACTAAACCCAACAATTGAAATGAGACTAAAACTACTGTATTACAGGATACTAGACTATTACGTGACACATGCGGAGTATAGGAGGGACCAAGTTGTACCAGTGCCCAAGGCCCCTGAAATTGCAGGGAAATGATTGAGATATACCAGAGAATACTGCAAGCGACCCATACCCCATGCTGCAGAAGAAGGCAAAAAACGCCTTAGGTTTTACAATAAACACATAGAAAGAAGACTTTAAAAAAAATTACAGGATACACAACTTGGACTTTATTTAATCCAAACTCTAAAGCAAGAGACTCTATGCTATTGTTGGGTATGTTTTTAACATTGGTATTTGTTCCTTCTTCAGAACTATTTGAATTGCCAGATGAGCTATTAATTCATTACACTGTTTTACCTTCCACTGTGCGGGCCTTCAAGTAATACTTAAATTATCATTGAAAGAGTAGGGGGAAAATATTTCTATTTTTTCAGTTTACTTTGGAGATATGACAGCATTTTTCATTCAGTCAGTTTCATTGCACAGACAGTTTTCCCTTTTGGGGGGTTGTTTTTTCAGAGTAAAAGGGGAAGAGGAAAACAAAAATGGAAGATGTGTCTGTAAAAAACACAAAAATTACCAAGGAGGACGCAGTATTTTTAACTTATTTTATTAAATTGACAAGATTTCAAACTGAGGAAAAGAGAATGAATGATCTATACCCTTTGGTTAAGCCCTTGAAGAAAAATCTCACAGCTGCTTTCAAAGCCCTTCCTCTTTTGGCAACGGGAGTTCAGAACCCCCCACACGTCACTACTGCAAACTGCATGTGTGTTTTGAGGACTTACCAGTGGCGCCAGCGAATACATCACCCTGGGATGGACTTTCTGAGATGATAGCTGTGGCCTCCACAGTTGATGAACGGTCGAAGGTCAGAGCACCAGAAGTAGTGATCTGTCCTGAAGGAGTCACGGTGACTGGAAATAGCAGAAGCACTTTCATAATTAGTGCTCAACTCTGAAGCCTTGGTTGTTTAGCTGTTGATCTCCCTGTTCTGAATCATCCTAAGTCACAGAATTCACAGATCAGTAATTGACCTGTGTTATCAATATTTGGATAACACCTCCATCGCACAGAATGGTAAATGGAAACAAAAATCTCATTTTGGCTTCTGAATTCATTGTGCACACATCAGCTTCCCAGAGTTATGGCTCATTTTAATCCCTGAAGTGTGGTGCCCAGATCAGTCCTGCACAGTTTTATTCCTATTGCATCACAATCATTTCAAATCACTACACAACTGATGCCGCAACACAGAAGCCAACTGAAAATAAAGCAACAGGGCAGATCTCGAATACATGGAAACTTTAGTGAGAGCAGCTATTACTGGTCTGAGAAACTAGACTCGCCTCAATATACTTCCACTATACTTTGGTTCTTTGGACTAATATTACCGTATTTCCCTTAAAAGGTGACCAACACCACTCTGAAACAACGAACAATATGCAACGCTAAAGCCACAAAATCCTTCCATACCAAAATTCCAAAGACAGTGGACTAAGGTGTTTAGAAAGATCTTAAAACAAACCTATCTTTTTAAACTCCCCTAATCAAGCCCAAGGAAAGGAATCACACCTGTCATCTTGGACTCACTCCTGTGCCAATTATATGTTCAGATAGATCTTTTCACAAAAACACACACACAAGTTTGAGTATCTGCAGCCATTTCTCATTCTTGCAAGGACCGGTTACAAGATTGTGGTTACTACTAGTAACATTCAAATAGGCTCATCTTTATTTCAGAAGCTCATTTGAGCATGTTAGAGAGCCAGAGAACCTGTGTTCAATTGTGTTTTTAAAACAAAACTGATCAACAAAAACCAATTTCTGAACCCCCTGAGCACAAGGCTTTGATCATGAGGCTGAAGTCTGCAGGATTCTGCAAGCGATCGAGTCAACCCAAATTCTGGACCTCTTCCCTTAAAATTGAACTGCTTTACATTTCAACCAAACTTCCACTTAATTGCCATATACTGCTATTGTCTATATTTTCGCTTTCTCAGTGTTGTTGACAGTTAACTATTTTTCTTGGCTAATAAAAATTTTCTTTCAGACAATACAGGAATGTCCCTTCCTGGCCAACTCATTCAGTAATATTGCAATCCAAATGCTGAGACTTCACTACCAGGAAGAGACTGGAAAGTCACATACACTGAACTATGACATCACTGAAGGTATCAGGAAATGGAAGCAGACTGTTTATAAAAATGAATCTTTGTTTTCACACAAGTATCTTGGTAATCAAAAACAATGAGAAACAAAATACAGAAAGATTACATGGTATCTAGATAGGACTTAAGTTTAATATATTCTGAGAAACCTGTTTGAAGGTGAAGATGGCCCATACAGCAGTTCTCACTAAAAACGTCCAGATCAGAGACCATTCCAGCAGCTTAGATTCTTTTAATATATCTCAAGAAACAGTGTGAGGCTGAATATACAGACCCTGCCTGCTCTCGGAAAGCAAGAGACCAGCATAAAGAATGGAACCCGAGTCTCCTGAAGAGCACAAAGGGGTAAATTTTCAAAGTACTATTGCTTAACTCCCACTGAAAGTCAAATCAACAGGTGTTAGGCACCTAGTTCTGGAAAATCTACCTCTAACCTCTACGGAACGAGGCCAGGGCTCCAAAGCTTTTGATGGCCCACTGGACCAAAAGACAAGGATGGGAATGGAAATCCAGGTTTCCCGTGCAGCAAGAAAAAAATACAACCCAAGTTTTAGCAAACACAAAAGGTTTTCAAGATTCTTAAAAAAATATTTTCCTAGAAACAGACTGAACATTTTTCTACTGAGTTTGCAACACTGTGCTCATGCTCAAGAACTAAGAAATGAAACTGACTAATCAGACCAGTCTAGTTTCACTGTCCAATCAAAATGACATACCAAAGCTAAACTAACAATCAAATTTATTAAAGCCTTTCCGTTTGGATTCTCTAGGATGTCATTAATATGGAAATCGAGCAAAGAAGACAAAATATGATTTATCTATCATGACAATGTTCCTCTAATAAAGAACCGGCAGGTCTATTCCAGAAGGGAACTTACAAGTGGTAGCAGCGGTAGCAGGAAGCAGGGTGATGTTTTTGGGAGAGTCCTTTTTCACTGGAGTTGTAGGCAACTCGTTTTCTTTTTTTCGCCTTTTATAAGGGACAAACAATCGTACTGGGCCACTCTGAGAGAAAGAGAAATGAGCAGTTATTATAGGAGCTTTCTTATTAAGACTCTTTGTCCTTTTTCAACTTGATCATGTTTGCTCTAACTCTCCAGACACAGCTGGGAGCATACTGTTTTATATGTAGCAGCTCTTCCTGAGGAACACAGAGCTAACAAACCATTGGGCTCTCCCTGCTGCTGCATTTTGTCAAAGTGCCAATTAAGACTACAGCAGAGATATTTGCTTCTTCTCTCCAGGCCAAAGAGAACAGTTAAGATGCACAATATTTAAGGTATTATTGATCTCAAGCCTTTCAATACAGCTGGTGGTGTCACTCCATGGTCAGCACTAAAGATGGTCAAAACTGAAGGCTAAGATATCACCAGTCTCAGCAAAGAGCATATCCCCAAACCAGATACCCACTTGCACCAGCAAAATCTCTGCCTTCCCACCCCCATTATGTTACTCACTCATTTCACACAAAATTCCCACTCCAGCTAAAGGGGCCCAGACTCAGCATCTTACCATCATTATCTAAGGAGCAGCTCTGAACTTCAAACAGAGGGATTTCATTACCCCTTTCCTTACTCTAGTCATGAACAAAGCACACTGCATCCACAACACTCCCAACCCCTTCCTGTCTCAGGTTGCTGATGACTTAAACTCTGATGGCCATGTGACACCTTAACTGATTATCACTCAAACATAAAGCCAACACTGAAAGTTTTCAAATTAGTGGCTGTAAACTTGCAACTCACCAAGGTCATGTCATCACAGCAGGCAGCACAAGTGCATGAGGCAGCATGAGGATTTAAAATCCCATCCTGAAATTGGGAAGTTACCAGGACAGCATTAAAAGCGTCACAAACCACCCAAAGCATGAATATACTCTAGCAAAAGCAGCAAAGAGTCCTGTGGCACCTTATAGACTAACAGACGTATAGGAGCATGAGCTTTCGTGGGTGAATACCCAACTTCTTCAGATGCATGCATGACAACTCTTCAGAAACAAAGGGAAAGATGGGGAATATACCAAGGGAAGAAGAACTCCAAAAGCAAAGACAAAGGGCAGGTGAATGTGTTTAGAATAGTATAAAGGACCTCTGCCCAATTGTCTGTTTAATAGTAATGCCCCATAAAGAATGGGCCTCCCTTCTAACACTATGGGATGTAAAATATCTGGAGTAACCTAGTAAGAAGCAAGGGAACCACTTGTTCCCAGCCAAACAACAGTAAAAGAGGTCCAATTATAGAATTAGAAGGAGGTAATGCAGATGGGGAGCCTTTAAGGCTATCATTTCCCCATTTCTGCCACATGAAGTTCAGTGCTGGAACTTATCCCATGGTAGCTTCTAACTGGAATAAAGCTATAACCCTTTTTGAGCTTAAGAAACATTTGGACTGACTTAACTTGGGAACCTGGCTAGGGGTTCTACCCCTTGGTCCTCAGCAAAACCAAATCACTGTTAATGAAGTGCCCTGTTGTAACATCATTTCTCTTTAATACTCCTGTGATTAGGTCAGTGTTCTCCGCCCTCCGCCCACCCCACCCCGACTCATCCCTTTGACAGAACACAAGCATTTGGCCAGGACATTGGAGAGTCAGACACTGCCATCCCTTCCCCTGGAGCAGAGACAAGCACAGGCTTGATCTTACATGAATAAGGCACTGCAGTGGCCTCCCTGCATAGCGGATGCTTCTTTTCCAATCTTTGCTGCTGGCTCTTCCTGCCATGGCTTCAAACTCAGTGGGGCTGTACCAGTTCTCCCCTTGCTTAATACATCGGCCCCGGCCTCCTGAAACAAGGTAAGAGAAGGCATTTGGTGGTTAAGAATAACTTTTTCACTTTTCTGAAGATGTAAGCACTGAAACCATCAGGTGATGAAGCAGTTAATCCATAGCATGTAAATATCTGGCACACTAGTCTAGTAGTTCCCACCCTATTAGAATAATTGTACTCATTTAAGACCTTGGCTGTATTAACCAGTGCTTACCACCTCCTGTTCATTTGTGTGTGCTTAGGCTGCTCCACATCCTAGTCTCATTAGCACCTAGATCCATGCTGGAAGAATGCACTCCTCTGTGGCACGTACAAAGCTTTCCCAGACAAATGCCATCAACTTCTCCAGAAGTAGTGCTCTCCTTTACTTTTATTTTTAAGTTTCTAGCCTTTATGGTTGTGAAGAAAAGCTTCTATATGTGAACAAAAGGGCAGCCATAGATGCCTGAATCTGCAGGCAGACAGGTCCAGTTGCGGCTGTGTCAAGATTCAGCTTCTGACACAACCAAAGAATCCGTGTGGGAGTCAGGCTTCCTACTCTCCAAAGGAACAGAGTGGGGTAGCAAGAGGCCAAAGCACCCAAGAAAAGCAATATCCAAAAGAAGACGACTGGCTTGGAAATTCTCCCTTCCCTTCATAACAGGTTTTTAAGAGCAGCACAATTAAAACAAGCACACACCAAACAAAGATGTACGAGTCACCGTCCCTCTCTTGTGGAAGGCAGGAAGGGCCTTTTTACCTGAACCAAGCCTGTTTTTATACAGGATTCCGCTGATATTCCGGCATCGCACAGGGAGTTCACTGTCATACACTGATGGGTCCCAGTTATACTTTGTGCCATTTTTTTCTTGACCAGGTGTTAAGGGAGTGGGAGGAGACTGAGAACCTTTGGGTTAAGAAAAGAAAGATGAAACATACTAAATGCCCACCAAACACAGCTTTGGATTTTTAATATCTGTGACACCCAGACTGTAATGCAATTAACTCAGACAGCTCGTGACTGTCCATAATGAGCAGAGAAACATACTAAATGACATATAATTTAATTTAGAGTATGTTAACAGCATCTTTCAGACCAATGAGATTGTTTAGGGTGCTTCTAGGAGCCCTGGTTAGGTATCATTATAAAACAGAAAGAAAATAAAGGAGGCTAAATTGTAGAATCACAGAAGTGTAGGACTGGAAGGGGCTGCAACAGATTACCTAGTCCAGTCCCCTACACTCAAGACAGGACTACTTAATAACTAGACCATTCCTAGCAGGTGTTTGTCTAATCTGTTCTTAAAAACCTCCAATGCCGGAGATTCTACAGCCTCCCTAGGCAATTTGTTCCAGTGCTTAACCAACCTGTCAGCTAGAAAGTTTTTCCTAATGTCCAACCTAAACTTCCCTTGCTGCAATTTAAGCACATTGCTTCTTGTCCTATCCTCAGAGGTTAACAAGAACAATTTTTGACCCTCCTCCTTGTAACAACCTTTTTTGTGTTTGAAAACTGTTGTGTCCCCCATCACTCTTCTCTTTTCCAAATTAAACAAACCCAATTTTTTCAATCTTCCCTCATAGGTCATGTTTTCTAGACCTTTCATCATTCTGTTGCTCTCCTCTGGACTTTCTCCAGTTTGTTCTTTTCTGAAATGTGGCACCCTGAACTGGACACAATACTCCAGCTGAGGCCTAATCAACCGTTTAGAGCGGAAGAATTTCTTCACGTGTCTTGCTTACAACATTCCTTCTGATACATCCTAGAATGATGTTTGCTGTTTTTGAACAGCGTTACACTGTTGACTCATATTTAGCTTGTGATCCACTGTGAGCCCCAGATCCCTTTCTGCAGTACTACTTCCTAGGCAGTAATTTCCCACTTTGTATGTGTGCATTAGGAAATGTATCTTAACAGTGAGTTCAAATGGACAGTGAAATAGTCTCCTGGGAAAATGATGAAACTCCCATTACTTCACACAACACAGTCAACCTGTGGCACTCCTTTCCAGAAGATGTTGTGAAAGCCAAGACACTAACAGGGTTCAAAAAAGAACTAGATAAGTTCATGGAGGATAGGTCCACCAATGTCTATTAGCCAGGATGGGCAGGGATGGTGTCCCTAGCCTCTGTTTGCCAGAAGCTGGGAATGGATCACTTGATGATTACCTATTCTGTTCCATTCCCTCTGAAACACTGGCATTAGCCACTGTTGGAAGACAGGATACTGGGCTAGATGGACCATTGGTCTGACCCAGTATGGCCGTTCTTAAGTTCTTATTTGAATCATTTAAAATTGCAATAGCTATGGGAGGATGGATATATTATGTATTTTCCATATCATGTTTCTAGGAAATGTGACTTTCAATGTTAAAGAGCTGTTGCGCCACCTTGTGCACAGAAAGAAGACTGCAGCTGCCAGTGCACACACTTGAATTAAGAAATAATCTTTAGAAACAAAGAAACAGTGCTATCTTGACATTCAAATGTCAACAGAAGGTCTTGGTGGAATCATGACCATTTGCAAAGTTTAAAATATAAATGAGTCCAGAACTAGGAGACGGAATTTATCAGTGTTGCCATCCTTTTCCAATATCAATAGTTACAATGAAAAATTCATCTTCCTGGGTGGAATGCAGAGACAAGTGAACATGAGAAAAATAAAGAAAAGGCAAGATTTTCCTGAGTGTGCTTGCGAAAGCAAACTCAAAGAATGAGTGAAAGAAATAGATTTCTTATAGAAGAAATGGAGAGAAAATAATCTTCCTTTACTCCCAAGAAGTACTTGGCTTTTGGATCTACCAACAGAATTTCAAGAGGTGACGGTTAATGCTTATAACATGATTTCAAAGAGTTACACGAGACAGTTTCTAGTTCTAAATACAGGAATAGGAAATATAGAGCCAGCCCGTCTGAGTGATGCTTAAAAAACAGAGCAGGATTGTGTTATACCTGGTGTGAGAGGTGCAGAGGGCCCCTTCAGCCCTGTGGTTTCTACAATGCTGCCATCTGTGTGAACCACTATCAGAGTGGCTTTTTCTGTATTCAAGCTGTCCCCAATTTGAAGAGCTGTTCTGCCAGACTACAAAAAAAATAAAGAGTTTTAATTAATATAATTAAAACCTCAGATATTTTTATGCCTCTCAGATTCTTCTCTCTGGACCCCTACAACTCTAATCAGCATGGGTGTGTGTGCTTTCAAGTCAACCAAATTCTGGCCTCAGAACAGTGAATCCAAGGCTATATGCTTCAGTTCACCAGCGCTACATGGGAGGACATATTCAGAGTGAGCTAGCTGTGTAACTCTTAACTTTATTGCTGGTTATGTGGCTAAATTCCTGCATGTTGTAATGAAGAGTCCCCCTTTGATCTTAACACAGCCTGAACATCAGAGTTGTACTTACCCTGAGACATTACATAGGGCATTATCAACATAGGGCCCACAACATTCTAAAGGAATTAAAAAACAACAACCTTTAACTTACCAGCACATGTCCAGATATAGATGCAGCATTTGCCACCGATGTGGTAAAGACATTGTCTGCAGAGGCACCCACATTGGCTACCGTTACTGTTGTCACTTCTACAACATAAAACAGAAGTGAACTTAATATACTGCTGTATCCACAGAACCTGATTAAAGCTAAAAGGGGAGAAAATACAATTGTGTTCTTTTTTCCCCTATATTATTTCCAATTTTTTTCCAGGTCCTCCTTCCCACCCCCTTGAGAATAAGATCATCCACAGAGGACATTCCCAACTTCACTTCTGATGTCACCTCTGGAAATCTTTTCAAAGAATCTAAACTAGAAATAAATGTCATTCTGATTATTGCTATCTATCTTCAAAACTGGCTTGGGCTTATCATTTGAACACTCTTGAGGCTGAGACAGTATTTAACAGCATGTGATTAACTAGGAGGAAAAATGAAGCTGCTTCAGTGTGCATGAGAACTGTAAAAGGGGATTGACTTACAAACCTAAAGATAAAAGGAAGAGAAAACCTCAGACTCTCTGCCTCTCAGTCTATATATTAATTGCTACCACTTCAATAATATCATGATAGACCAACTAGCACATCAGCTAGAATGTATCCAATTTTTTAAATTATATTTTGCATAAAATTTGATAGCATATTTAGTTATGGAAAGTCTTCCAGATTGTCTCTCTCCTGCTGCTGCCTATAAAAATTTGCTTTTAAAGAAAAATTGGTATAAACTAATAGATGCTCATGGTTTATATCAACTTCTGTTTATGCATAAAGTACAAGATATATACAAACCCTTATGAAAACTTAGCTTCTTAACTAAGGGAATCCAAGATGGGTGTTGTATGGTATATATGTGGGGCTTCACAAAGTAAAATCCTACAAGTCCTCTGAGTCTGACACACTTGTAAAGTAGAGACACAAGGTGGGTGAGGCAATGTCTTTTATTGGACCAACTTTTGTTGGTGAGAGAGACAAGCTTTCAAGCCACACAGAGCTCATCTTCAGGTCCTGTCTCTCTAATATCCTGGGACCGACACTGCTAGAACTATACTACATACAAAATTTGTAAAGGAACAGCTGTTCAGAGCACATACAGAATACTTAGGTTGAATCCTGCTGCCATATTTTATGGCATACACACAAAAAAAGATTTCTGTATTCCGGGAATGGAAAGGCATGAAAAACAACACCCAGACAGCCGTGCATCAAGATTGACAGCTAATTATGGGTAATCGTGGACGTATTAGATTTTTATCGGTAAACATCAATTTTACTTTTCACACACAAACTGATGAAAAATATTTTCATCATAATTGTAATTCACAAATAGGCAAAGTAAGAAATATGCTGCTTGACAGCTTATTACAATTTAAGGATATTTACTTTGTATACTTTGACGTGTGATGTCCACAATTTTTGTGTTAATGGTTGTAAAGCTTTACTTTTTGAATCTCAATGTCTATTGTCATTAAACAATTACTGTCTGATCCCTCCCTTAATTTCTTACAACTATGAAAATCTGAATAGATTTAAAAAAAAAAACCCCATTGATATTAACCACTGAAATTATGTAAAAAATTAAAATTGAATTCTATCAAGCCTGATTATGGGCTAAAATCTCTGCTCCTGGCTGCATGGCAGATCTTGTCTCCAATATTTTGCATTTGTTTGGGGAGGCAAAACTCCCACAGTGAGCAGAAGGTCAAAGTCAAGATCTAATGTGCAGAAAGAAGCCTCTTACTCAAGGGGGAAAAAAGTGTATAGTTTACTTGTGAAGGCAGGATGTTGCCACTGCATCTGAAGAAGTGGGTTTATTACCCACGAAAGCTTATGCCCAAATAAATCTGTTAGTCTTTAAGGTGCCACCAGACTCCTCGGTGTTTTTGTGAAGGCAGTGTGGACTGAAGTACTGAGCAAAAGGTAGGGTTATCCTGGAGTCTGTGTCATGTGATGAAACCTCCAGGAATAAGTTAGGGTGACCAGATGTCCTGATTTTATAGGGACAGTCCCGATTTTTGGGGCTTTTCTTATATAGGCTATTACCCCCCACCCCCATCCTGATTTTTCACACTTGCTGTCTGGTCACCCTAGAATAAATCCAACCAAAATTGGCAACCTTAACAAAAGGTTGGAAGTCTGACAGTATTTACTTCTAATTCTGAATTTGCTACTTATTTGCTGTGTGGCCTGGGATAAGTGACTTCACCGGTCTGGCTCCCCAGCTGTAAAACGAAGATAACCGTGTATCTCGGCTGGGGCCGGGGAGGACTGGCTGTCAGGACTTGTGGCACTGACAAGATGCACGGGGGCGGTGGCTGACCGTGTGGGTAACGAGCGCCCTGGAACAGACTGGATGGGGGAAAGCGGCGGACAGCAACAAGTCAAACCCAGCAGCGCGGCTGAACTGAGGCGGCCCTTTCCCTCAAAAGGACCCGGGTTCGCGCCGAGCCCCAGCGCTGTGACCTGCCGGGAGCTGGTCCAGGGACGCCCCAGGCGGGGGAGGGAGGTGCGGGGCTGACCTCGAGTAACTGACGCCAGGGCCCGGCTCACCGGCGGGAAGGGGCGGTACCGGCCGCAGCGCGTGCCAGGGCTGCAGGCGCGCCCGCGCGGCGCTCTATGCGCATGCGCCGCGCTCTGACCTGCAAAGGCGGCGGCAGCCTCGTCCGCGCTCGGCAGGGACTCGGCTCCCATCTCGATGTGTTCGGCATCCGCCGCCATCACGGTCACCGCCGTCACCTGCGCCGCTGCTTCCTCCTCCTCGGGCTCCGCCTCCAAGCCCGCCGCCTCCGCCCGCTGGTGCTCGGATCCTTCCGCGGCCACTGCTGCGGCCACCGCCGCCGCAGCTACCGCCGCCGCCTCGGCCAAGCCCAGCTGCTTCGCCGCCGAGTCCGAGTCCTCCATCCGAGCCCGCCCGAGGCGGCGGTAGCCGGGAGCCGAGCCCGGCCCGAGCCTCTCCGATCTCACACGAGCCCGATTCTCAGATCCCCGGGCCGGGCGCGGCGCTACCCCAGAATGCTCCGAGTTTCCCCGAGCGATCCCGAGTCCTTCCGAAATTAGCCGAGCACTGCCGAGAGCGAGCAGTCGAACTGAACCGTGTCGGCTCCGAGCCTGACCGAATCCTTCCGAGCTCGCCCGAATGCCGCTGCAGGCTTAAGGAGCTGAGTTCGACTGAATCCCCTGCCCCTCCCGGGTGACCCGAATGCGGACCGATCCGGGCACCCGAGGGGAGCCGAACCCCTCCGTGTCCTCGCCAGTCTCGCCCGAACAGCAATCCGAGCCGGGCGGGGGGAGGGACCCGAACCTGCCCGAGGCGATCGGAGGCTAGAGCCGATTAGAGTCGAGCCTGCCCGAGTCCTGCCAGCGAGGAGCCGAGCCGAGCCCCCTCCGATCTCACCCGAATGGCCGGGCTGGCCGGGGAGCCGAACGGACAGCGCCCGAGTCAGCCCGAAGCAGAACGAACCCGGCCGAGCGCGCGGGACGCCCGAAGGGCTCCGAAGCGGCCCGAAGGCCGCGGGGCTGAAGGGGAAGTGGCGGGCTCCTCGCCGCCCTCACAGCGCGCGAGAATAAGCGGCAATGGCCGAAAGCGCCCGAAGCCCGAGCGGCGCATGGGATGCCGGGATGCTGGAGGACTGAGGGGTGGTGAAGGGAAGAGAGAGAGAGGGGACGGACATGGCTGCTGTTAGGAGAGGTGAGCGGACGCGTTGCCATCGTTACCGCGAGCTCGGCGGCCGGTGGGGCGGGGTGGCGGTTCCCAGCGAGACCGGGTTCCGGGGGGAAGGGTTGCCCCTGCCGGGATGATGGGCCTCGTCCCTCTGTTGCAGCGTTGCCATGGTTACTGCACGGCCCTGGTTACGTCGCCGCGACAATCAACTCCAGCCGGCGCGCGGCACTGGAGGCGATCGGGGTTATTACCGCGGCCGGCGGGCTCGGGTGGGCAGCGCTGGTCAGTGTGAAACTTAAACGGGTAGAGAAATGGGATGGCCCCGTAACAAGCCGCGACGAGCGTTCAGACGGGAAGGGAAGGTGAAGCGATTCCGGAGTCAGCCCCGGGATCTCGCAGGGCTGGGGGGCAGAAGGAGGGGGCGGGGGCGCGGCAGTGCACTGCGATCTCCCTTTCAGGAGAGACTGGCTGAGTGAGCCCTGGCTCGTCTTAGCCCAGCTCGCTCCCACGCTCACGGAACAGCCTCGCAGGCCCCTCTCGCACCCTCTTCTGCACTTCGACCTCTGAGCAAGCCTTGCCTACAACCGGCTATCGGAAAGGGGAGCGGATCCGGGGTGATCAGTGCCTGAGGGGAGCCGATGGGTGCTGGGCGGGGAACTCAGGGGAGAAAGGGGTCTGGGAGATGGGTGGTGATGGGTGTCTAGTGGGTTCAGGGAGCTGGGTGTCTGGGTGAAGGATGCAGGGCACTAAGGAGAGGGCTGTTGTGTGTCTAAGGGGAGGTGGGTTTCTAGGGAGCTCAGAGGATGCAGGGGCCAAGGAGAGAGGCATGGGCGGCAGGTTTGTATAATTTTTGGTGGTGCCCAGAACGGGTCCAAGTAGAGCCACCCCGTCCCTAGGACAGACTGTGGCAACTGCCCCAGGCCCTGTGCTTTGGGGGGCCCTGTGCTTCAGGGGGATGCGGGGTCCAGGTCAGCTTGGGGGGTTGGCGGGGGGCCTGGTGCCGGCAGCAGCGAGCAACCTGGCCCCAGCCCGCCCAGCTCCGCTCCGCCCCGCCCTGCCAGCTCCTGGCGTTGCTCAGGGGAGGGGGCAGAAGCCAGAAAGAGGCGGGGTGGGGGCTTGGGAGAAGGGGTGGAATGGGGGAGGGCTGGGTCTGGGTCGCTCACTGCTGCCAGGCCCCCCTGCTAACTCCCCAGGCCACCCTGGACCCTGCATCCCCCTGAAGCACAGGGCCCCCCAAAGCGTGGTAAGCCCAAATATTGGTGGAGCCGGGCCCACGTTCCTACATATTGGTGGAGCATGGGCACCACAGGCCCATGTAATTCGCCGCCTATGGAGAGAGATGGAGGGTGTCTAAGGGGACAGTGGGTGGTGAGTATCTGGAAGAGGCAGGGGTTAGCTGGTGTCTGGAAGAGATGGAGAGAAAGGGGTGTCCCTGCTTCATTCTCACCAGTCCGCAGTGCATACCCCTGTTGTGAGCAAGCACCAGATGGCTGCAAAGGGACAACCAGAATTTTATTGAGGGGGCCCAGGAGGGTCTCACCGCATATGGGGTTCCCCTCCTTCACATTGCCCTGACTCTTCCCTCCCCGGAGAAACCAGGACCTCTTCCACCTTTTTCCAGGAGAGACCTGGAGTGGCGTGGACTCCCTTCCCCACGCCAAGGAGACCTAGACCAGTGGGAACTTTTGCCTGCCTGCTTCCGACTTTTACTTGCTGAACTCAGCTAGACTGTTTGGAGCCAGAGGCTCCATGCTCTGCACTGCTGCATCCCAATTCTCAGCAAAGGGGACAGGTTGGCTTTGCCTCCCCGCCTCATACTGCTGCCTAGAGCTACATGTGAGGAGCAACTGGAGGTCACAAGCGCTCCCAACGTCTGCCCTTCAGTTGTGTGCAGCCGCCCACCTCGGGGTAGGGGCCCACCCCGGGGTAGGGGCCCACCCCAAATTGGACCAACATCTTGAAAACTGTCTTGAACCAAACCATACCCCCCTGCCCCGTTTCAGTTTGGGTCAATCAAAACGTTTTGATTTTGACCATTTTTACTGTTTTGCTTTTCTAACTAAAAAGTCATTTAGAACCAGAAAACTGGAATTTTTTGTTTCAAAAATGTTTTGTTTAGGCAACTTGGATTTTTTTCAACTTTTTGGAGTCAAGAAATTCATCAAAACCAACCATTTTCCCACAGACCGTTTCAGTTTTGATTAATCAGCATTTTCCAATAAAAAAATTTAGTTGAAAAATTCCCAATCAGCTCTACTAACATTATCCCTGAATTCAGCCTAGGGATGTGCTTGGGAGGCTCAGCTGCTGCACTAGTGGTGAATCTACCCCACTAAGCATAAGTGAATTGTCAGTATCCTGACTAGCTTATCATGCTTTCTTTATATGAGTTCTTCTGGCAACATGCATAACACAGCATGGATATTTTGTTTAATTTGTTCTCCGTGTGGGATACTTTATAACAGAGGTGGGCAAACTATGGCCCGCGGGCCACATCCGGCTTGCGGGACCGTCCTGCCTAGCCCTTGAGCTCCCGGCCAGGGAGGCTAGCCCCCACCCCCTCCCTCGCTATCTCTCCTCCCCCACAGCCACACTGCTGCACGGGCAGCGCTCTTGGTGGCGGGGTTGCGCGCTCCTGCCGAGCAGCGCAGCAGCGTGTCTGGCTCTGGCCGGGCGGAGCAGCTACCAGACATGCTGCTCTGAGTGGCATGGTAAGGGGGCCAGGGGGGTTGGATAAGGGGCAGGGGGTCCTAGGGGACAGGGAGCAGGGGGCGGTTGGATGGGGCGGAGGTTATGGGGGGCGGTCAGGGGGCGGGGGGGGGGGTTGGATAAGCATGGGAGTCCCGGGGGGCCTGTCAGGGAGCAGAGGTGTGGATAGCGGTCGGGGCAGTCAGGGGACTGGGAGCTTGGGGGTGGGGGGTCCTGGGAGGGGTGGTTAGGGGACAAGAAGCAGGGTTGGATGGGTCAGGGGTTCTGAGGGGGGCAGGAAGTGGGAGGAGGCGGATAGGTGGCGGGGGCCAGGCCGTTTGGGGAGGCACAGCCTTCCCTACCCAGCCCTCCATACGGTTTTGCAACCCCAATGTGGCCCTTGGGCCAAAAAGTTTGCCCACCCCAGCGCTATAACATATAATGAGGTAAAGTAAGGGAAAGAGATGCTGCAGCAGTGAACTAGCTGTAACGGATGAATGCATTATTAACTATCAGTCAGTAAAATTTTGTCCCATGCCATACATTTTGTAAGTGGCAAAACTCTCCTTGACTTCAGTAGTAGCAGAATTTGCTTATTACAGCATTCCTGGCTACTTTTAGAGTGAGTTAATCAGTATTACATTGTTTTTCATTATTTTAATTTAATATGAATAAAAGAAATGTAAACAGTTACACCCAGCCTCCCAACTGACCTTTGCTGAGTGGGGTATCCTTCATTTTATGATTAATAACAATATTTTATACTTATATTAGCACCTTCCTGCTGAGTATTTCAAAGCACTTGACAAACACTAATGAATGAAACCTCTCAATACCTTTGTGACAAAGGTAAATTATTTTCATTTAACATATGTGGAAACAAGTACAGAGGACCAGATATTGCTATGTATCAGTTTAAATCCAGAAGGATTCTTATCAAATAAGTAGAGTTTCCCTTGATTTAGAGTGGTGTAACTGAGAGCAGAATTTGACCCAGCGACAGTAACTGGCTTGTCCAAAGTCACATTAACAAGTTGATAAGTTAGCTAGAAATAGAACCCAGGACTCCTGGCTCCTCTTCTCATGGCGTACTTCTATACTAGCAAAGTAAGATCTGTATTATAGCAGCTGCTAACAACGGTGCAGCTGGATGAGTGCTAAGCTGCTAGTAGATCCGGTTACACCTGCTATTCTCTCACTGTTATAAGTACTTCATTAAAAAAGCCTAACAATGTTCTTTTAATAAGATTGCAAAGTCAAGCACTCAGAAGTTGGGAAATGCCAGATTTAAGGATGGTCATGCAACCTTAATTCAGCTCCCTTGTGCATATGCATTATGATACAGTATTTAATTACATGATCAGATACTATTTTTTTCTTATACTATTGCTACAGTTTCCCAGAGTGTGCTCAGTCATTCTGTGGGGATGGTGCATGTGCAGTCCAATCATACATAGGAGCTGCCAGGGGCTGGAGCATGTGCAATACAAACAAAATCTGTGGAGAATTTAGTAGCCAACGTCTAAGAAGACTCAGTTGACTATGTGTGAACTGAGATTTTTCAGTGACTCATAACTTGGTCCTACTTGGGTGTTTTTTTACAGCAACAACAAAAGGCACATTCCTGACAGCAGGTGACCCCCTGTCAAATGTCCAGTCCCAATCCAAAGCAAGGAGGTGTGAAAGCTTCTTTAAAAATGATAATAATCTTACAACCAGTTCATTAACATGGACAACATGAATTTTTCCATGCTCTCATTCTCCAAAACAACTGAACCATTTTAGCTGAAAGTTTAAAAAAAAAAAAAAAAAATCTGTTTGAGGTAGATGCCTGGCATGGAAAGTTTCAACCTGAATGGTTTAAGTTTGGCAAAGATATAAGTAAGTGAAAACAGGGTCTTATAATGGGAAGCGTTGGGCAAACCTAGTTATAGGCATTGCTACCTACACCACCTATAATACATTTTTGGCATCAGAAATGCTGAATCCTGAAACAGATTTGTAGAAAATGGGCCAAATTCTGTCTTCAAATATGCATGCGCACAGTGTTCTTTAAGAAAATTTGGCAGGGGCTACATTTAAAAAACTCACTTGTTTAGAACAGACTTTATGGACTTGGTTCTGTATTTGTTCAGTATATCAAACTCCCAGTAAAGTCAGTGGGATTCTGCTCATGGAGTATCTGCACGATCCTGCACTAGGGGCACAATTTTCAAAACTGTTTTCTTAAGACGCACGTGCAGCTCAAGCATATGTACATGCAAAAAGGCCCTCAGGACAATATGGCAGATAGATAACCATGCTCCTAAGAGCCCACTTGTATATATGAATGTGGGATTTGCACCATGTTTGTATCCTTTCTTGAAAACTGGAGTTAGTGAGCCAGATTCATCCCTGGTATAAACCCATTGTCTTCACTGGAGTTACATCAAAGATAGAGTTGGCCCATATTTAAGCATCGTTATTTAGGCCATTGAAAGCAAAGTGATCTTGCACTTGGCAGTCTAAACTAATTTAGAATAATTGAAAATTAGATGTCAAGTTTCATAATTGAAAGTGGATATGTTATTACTAGATTACTAATTACTATATAATTACAATACCTATCTCACAAATGTGTGTTGTCAGGCATAAGCAATTAATGTTGGTGAAATGTGCTGAGATTCTATAGATGCTAAGTAGGGTTATTAGATATTATATCATTTGTCCTTGGTACAATGTAGGAATATGGTTAATGCCTACTTGTGGGCTAATGACAATGGTATACGGTTTTGTGGTTAGAGCAGGGAACTGGGAATCAGCGCTCTGGGTTCTGTACCCAGCTTTTTCACTGACTCACTGTGTGATCTTTGGGCAATTCCCTAAAGGCTTGTCTATACAAAAAATTGTACTGCTTTATCTAGCCCAGTATAATTAAAGTATTACAACCTCTGTAATAAGGAGTCAGTTATAGAGGTGTGTGACCAGAGTCCCAGGGGAGCCATACGGAGGTTACTCAATTAGGGTGAACTACAAAGAATGGGGCAGACAATCCCCAAAGCTGGTGGATATTCCAATACTTAGATTTACCAAGTCAGCACAAATCCGGTTCTATAATACTTTACGGTTACTCAGAAGCCAACAACACAGTTTCCTTAAAGTAACCCAGTCTTAGGCCTCCACCCAGACACCCAAGTCAAATATGATGAGGATTACTGAAAATCTTATTCATCATATAATAAAGTTCTGCCAATCCCAAAGGATCGGACACACTATCTCCCAGGTTAATGAATATTTCAGCTCTTACCCAAATACGTGTTTACAGCTAATTCTTATTAACTAACCTAAAATTTATTAAAAAAGAAAAGAGAGAGAGTATTGGTTAAAAGATCAGTATGCATACAGACATGAGTACAGTTCTGAGATCAGATTCATAGTAGAGATGGTGAGCTTTGTAGTTGCAAAGATTTCTTTCAGTATTAGTCCGAGGCTATAGTCCTATGTCCATATTCAGGGTGATCCAGATGGGACTCTGGAGATCTCAGTCTTAGGACTTAAGCTTCCCCTGCGTGAAGCATCAAGCAGATCTGAGATAAAAAGGATCAGGACCCAAGACATTTTTGTATAGTACCAGGCCTTCTTTTGATAGCTTGGAGTCCTTAGGTGAACAATAGGCAATCATGGAGACTTTGAAGTAGACCTATTTCCTAAGCATCACTGGTAATTAGCTACATGGATTAACATAAGGCAGTTGCCTGTTTTCCACCATTCACAGGTGATTTGCTGTACATTTCAGAGAGATGAATACAGTGATATCACTATGTTTACAGTTCATTTAAATGATATTTCCTTTTGATGTCTGAATTAACAGAATACAGCATAGCTCGGGACTCTCGATTACATTGTTAACCTCTAACAATATATATGTAAACACACAAAAACACAAACATTATCTACCAATATGTCCCTAAAAGTTGAATCTGGGTCAATTATCCTGCAAGCTGCTTAACCCTTTCTGGCCATGCGTCATATTGTAGGTTTGTTTACAGATGGAATTTCAGAATAAGAGCTATCACTATTCCAGAATAAGGGTATCCATACATGGAGTTATTGCACTTTAAATTAACACTCTACCTTAAGATGAAACAAGTTTCAAGTGTAGACAAGCCCTTTTTCCTGTTTGGGGAGTAAGCGATCCACACTAGAGGTTATTCTGGTATAACTATTTTGGTAAGAAATCACACCCTTAACTGACATATTTATATCAATACAAAATTTGCACGTAGCCCAGTCCTTAGGCCCCAATCCTGCAAAGACTTCCAGATCAGCTTAACTTTACATATTGTAAGTAGTCCCATTGAAGTCAATGTGTAAAATTAAGCAGCAGAGGCATAAATCTTTGCAGGATGAGAGCCTTAATCACAAAGTGCCTTAGTTTTGCCTTCTGAAAAATGGGGCTAATACTCACAAGCGATTCTCAATTCTGTATGTACCTGTGGAGTGCTAAGGTGGATAACAATGGACAGGTGAGCTTTCATTGGGTCAATACTGTCACACGTCAAGAAAATTTAAATTTGTGTTTTACAGAGAAAAGTTAGATTAGACACTTTCAGAAGAATTATTGCTTGGCTCATACATTTCTTTTTTTTAATTGCATTGTGCTAAGGATTTATCTGGGCTTTCAATGATTGGTTGTAAGGGGAGCGTGGTTAGAAGGAATTATCATTTGAGATGGGGATAAGGGCAACATTGTGGTGGTTGGGGCCATGGGTTTGACTTAATCAACCTTTGGTTGTAATTTAACAACAGATGACATATTCTGATTCCCCCGCAAGCTTCCCTGGTTCTTGTACAGTTCAGAAACGGAAATGTCATCAGGTGATTCATGATGAGTGCTGTGAAGGTACAGATACACAATAATATTTAGTATCTATATAGTGCTTAAAGTTTTCAAAGAGATGTACACACCAGAGAAGGTGGGTTCTCTCCATGAAGGTTTCACAGAATGACTTTAGGGTTAATGTATCCTAAAACAAGTTATTTTCTAAATCTGAAGTAGTTGATGTGGAAAAATTTCAGTCATTTGTGCATTTTGCAACATCGTTGGTAGCAAAAATGTAGGCTGATTTTCTCCTAATTATTCCTTATTTTCCCTCCGAGGGCAGGAAGAACTTCATCAGTTGTATCCTTTTGGACATCCCATCCCTTGCACTTGGGGATGACATGCAAGATCACTGTCTAATAAGTTTGCACAATGTTTATATTAGCATAGTTTTCACTGGTATCCTTTTTTGTGTGGCATCAACACCATCTGTTTGAGCTAGTATTGGTAGGTGATAGCTTCTAAAGGTATGTCTTCACAGCAGAGTTATCCCAGGCTCCTACTTGGGTATTGCTGCTACCCCAGCACCCATACACAGATGAAGCCCTCTTGCATGAATATACTTATGCTTTCAGCCTGGGCTAGCTGGCTGGTCTGGTGCTATAGGCTAATGGTCAGGTTCTGCTTTCACTGGTACTGGGTAACCCACCCATTTTGCAATCAGGGCGCAGGCTAAACCAGTCAAATGCCAACAGTCCGACTCCTCTGATGCTTTCCCAAAATTCCCTCTCCCCCATGTATTGAAAAGGACAGACAAGTTCTCTTACAGTTTACTGGGAAAGAATCATAGAGTGGGTCAGCTTACAGCAATGCTAAGAACCATGGGATATGCCCCTAGAAGTCCTAGCAACACATGAATCAGTGTGGAGCAGTAACTCAGGTATGGTTTTGCAGTGTGGCTGCTCACATCCAGGGTAGGTTAAGCCAGGGGCTGTTCATCTGAATAAAGACATACCCTAAGTCAGTGATGTGTAGAGGAGTAATGGAAAGAGAGTTGAAACAAAAAACAGTGACCATAGATCCATGGTCTTTAGAGGTGTAAGTGGGAGATTAGAGGAGAAGGAGGGAGTGACTGGTTGGTCCATACTAAATCTAAACAATTAGGTTTGTAGACTGAGCCACATGAAATCCATGCAGCACACACCCCTGAGACTTGACATTACATAGCGGACAAGAGGCGCCAAAAGAGCATTGTAGCACGCTCTTTGTCTCTCTTTCCTCTCCGGTTAATTCCTGGTGCTCCACCCTCCCTTTCCCCCTACCCCACCCCCCGGGGGTAACCTCCTAAGAAAAGAGACAGACACCTTATTCTTCAAAGACTTCTGCTACTGGCATTTTTCCAGCATTTTTGCTCCACCTTCCTTCAACCAGAAAAACAGGAAAACCAAGTTCTGCCTCATTAAAATTAACATGCTTACATGCTTGGGAACTGGACTACGCCCATGACTTGCAGGTTTTCTCATCCAAAACTGGGTGGGCACTAACGCTAAAATACTTTGTATGTAAACTTAATGTCATCATAAACTTGGGGGACAATAGAACTAAATGGCCACTAGAAATCCATGCCAAATTCTCTCTTGGTTGAAATAGGTGCAGCTCCATGACAGGAGCAGAGATTTTGGTGCCTATATTTTACTGAAGCATTTGAAATGTAGATCACATTTGGCTCCTGTGGTTTTCCCACCTTTAAACAATGCACAATAAACAAATGAAACAGACTACCAAGGAAATACAAATGAAATACATGCCTGCTGGCTACAAGACTCTTTCCCCAACATACACACTCTTGTAATATTGATCTAACTGGAAAATTGGTGAGAAAGGCTGATGCAGAGGTTAGGGCACTAGCCAAGGATTTAAGAGACCTGGATTTAAGAGACCTGGATTCAAGATCTTGTTCTACCATGTTCTACCACAGACTTCCTGTGCGACCTTGTGCAAGTCACTATTTGCCTAGTGCATCAGTTCCTCAGCTGTAAAATTAGGAATAATAGGGTTTGCCGGGGTGTTGTGAGGATAATACCCTAAAGATTGTGAGGTGCTCAGAGACTGTGCTAATGAGGGCCATGTTAACACCTAATCTAGCTAGAACTAAGTATTAAAACAGACAAGAAACCAAAAAGCTATTGTCCTAAATTCATAGTATTTGGAATCTCAACTGATTTTAGGTATTTCCAATATATCAACCACCTTGGTATCTTAAGTGCCAATATAAACATGTACATGCATAGATTGCTATGGAAAATAAGGGATAGTAACATTTTGACGTTAATATGCTGTGACCAATAGTTTATAAAATAGATTGACTGCATTACTGTTACAGATCCTTAATAACATTTGTCAGCTGTCGTCTGTTCCCTTACAGATCCTGTTCTATTTAAATGGATTTTATTACATCTTTTATTTCTTGGCAACGCTTCTAATGATTATTTATAAAAGTAAGTTACTTTATACATATTCTAAACACAAAACTCAGATGTGTGCGTGTTATATTGTGATGACTTGATGTACTTAGTGGTTTTGGTTTGTTTACGCTTTGTTATTCAACAGGTCAAGTTTTCAGTTATCCGGATAATTACTTGGCTCTTGATCTTGCGCTGCTGTTCATTATGACCACTCTAGAAGCAATCCGATTATACTTGGGTATGTTGATCTTAATTATCATTGTACACTTTAAGATGGAATGTTTGCCTCAGAGTCTTTACACATTAATCATGTTATGAATGTGAATGTCAAAACTTGCTGATTTAGCAGCGTAACCAATTATTTTACAGACTGTTAAACATATATGTTGTTAAACATTAATTGATTGATCTGTATTGCCAGAAGGGCAAATGATAATAGTTATATATTGGTTAAATATAATTTTTAAGTACCACTAAAAAGGAACAGATTCACAGAGAACAAGAACTGCTGGAAATGTAACACTAGAGTACTGCTGTGCTATTTATAAGTATGTATGTTGTGGGAGAGAATAAAGCTCAAAATATAGAGGCCCTGATTCTACTGAAGGGCTCCTTTACACTGCTCCAGCAGCATAAAAGCCGTCAGGTGGCTGGAAATAGCCCCCAGGGATTACCCAGTACAGAAGATTTAATTGAGCAACCTAGAGCTGCCACAATTGTTCCACACCCCTCCTTTTTGCAGCCCTCATTTACAGCACTACACTTGGAGGGCAGGGTATGGGGCAGGAGGGACTCTCACCTTGACTATGGCCCCTTTCCATTGGGTTAATGGGCTAGAGTGGCATAAAGGGACATATAAGCCTTGGTTCCAACCCCCACTGTAGGCATTACTGAGTCAGTCCGAAGGGTTGTGTGTGTTTGTTGGTGTTGGGGATTAATTTTTTTTATATGCCAGGTGTTCTTGAGACATTTATACCAGCATACACCGTGGGCTGCTGCTGAATTCAGCTAGGTTACATCAGGGATGAATTGTCTTCATTTTATAGTTAAAATGTGCCTAAAAGTAAATTCTCTGTATGTGTGCTCAGAGCCTGTTCGATGAAAATATTTTATAAATAGAAAAATAAGTTCCAAGTCAGAGGCAATTAAAAAATGAATAACAAAACTATTGACCCTAAAACTGGCTTGGACATAAGGTACAAAATTTTAACAAAGATGCTTAACAATTGGAACAGATGACTAAGAGATGTGGTACATTCTCCATTACTTGAAATATTAAAATCATATTTGGATCTCTTTATAAAAGATACACTCTAGTCCAGTGGTTCTCAAACTTTTTTTTCCACTTACCACTTGAAAGTTGCTGAGGGTCTTGGTGGACCACTTAATGATCTTTCCAAATGTTGTTTATACCGTTAGCTAACTATTGTAAAGCGCTTTGCATAAAAGAGCTGTATATAAAAAAAAACTTAATAATAATTAACTTTTTTTGTTCTACAAATAAAAGCACACAACTCATATTTTAATATCAGTAGTCTTACCTTTCAAATGTGATGGATGTGCCCTCTCTCCCCTGCCGCGGCAGGCCCCGAGCTGGGCCTGAGAAGGGGGGGGTTTCTCCCCCGCCACAGCACCCAGAGCTGAGGCTGGGAAGGAGGGCTGTCTCTCCTCAGCAGCCACAGCCCTGGAGCTGGGGAAAATTGCCTCTTTCTCTGGCCACCGCAGCCGTGCACATCCCAAATTCCCCCCACCCCCTCTTCTCACCCCATACCCCCTCCCACCTACCCCCTATTCCCCCCAAGGTCACCACCTCACCTTACATGTGCATCTTCTCCAGGGTCCAAGCACCTAATTAGTGGAGCCACGCCTGCATGGCTCCGCTAATTAAGTGGGTGGCCCTTCATTCTGTTGTGTGCGGCCGCCCAGGCGCGCACCTTAGATGGAACTATCTGCGGACCACCTGAATGGAGCTCGCGGACCAGTGGTGGTCCGTGGACCACAGTTTGAGAACCTCTGCACTAGTCGTCAAGTTGTCAGGCAAGATGTAGGAACCATGTGGTGAAATTTAATGGCCTTTCAAGCAACAGTCCAGACTAGATGATCATAATGATCACATCTAACTTTAAAATCTATTAATCTGGGGGAAATAATGTAGGAGTTGTGCTTAGGGCTTGTCTACATGTGCTGCGTGGATTTTCCACACCCCTGAGCGATTTAGTTATATCGATATAAGTCTGTAGTGTAGACCAAGTCTTAGAGTACCGGTAGATTGTGTTTTCTCCAAACTACCATCCTGGTCAGTGTTGAAATGACCGTGCTCATCTGTCTTTGGATTTGTTCTTAAGCTTACAGTCAATGGCCTCGATTCAGGAAGGCATTTAAGCATGTACTTACGTCCTATAGACTTCAAAGAGTCTTAAGCATGTACTTAAGTGCCCTTACTGAACAGAGCTGCTCTCCTGGGTGGGACCCAAGACATTGTCCCTGTAAACAGTCGAATCATGTAACCATTTTGTCTCCTCAAGGTACAAAGGGTAACCTGACAGAAGAAGAGGTTCCACTAGGGGTCAGTCTCGTGATTACTGTTGGCAGCATAATGTTGTCTGTCTACTTCCTGGTGTGGGAGACTTACGTGCTAAAAGCAGATGTCGTTATTAATGCTATTCTTCTTTTTACATATGGGCTTGAGGGACTACTACAGATCATAGCCATTGCTGCATTTGTCAGCTAAATCTCTGCTGCTCAGAGTTGTAAGGTACATCTGCTTCCAACATTTCTTCAGTAAAGAGACAACATGCATCTTTAAAGTCTAAAAGTATTTGGTTTCACTTTCTCCAGTGTAAAATACTGGGGAGGAAACTCATCCTTATATTACAGGGTTTAATATAGCCCTATTACAGCACAGCCCCCCATGAATAACCAGCTAAAATATTCTGTACAGTAGCTCTGTTCCACTGTTTGACTAAGTAGTTCATTTAGTGGCAATGGCCCTGCTTCAGGAAAACACTTAAGTACATGCTCCGCTATAAGTCTGAGTAATTCCATTGCAGTCAATGGGAGTGCATCTGGGCTTAAAGTTACACACATAATCAAGTGTATTCCTGCATTGGGTCCATGTACTGACCTGCTGTGCCTAAAGACGTACATGTGTATTTAATCAAAATTCTGCGTCAGATATTTCTATCCAAATCAGAACAAATATAAACCAGCATATTACTCTAGTTGTATGTTGGTGCAATGCCATTGATTTTAATGAAATCACACTGGCATAAAACTGGAGTAATGCAGAGGAGAATCAGGCCCTGTCTACATTAAAAGAAAATACCGTGGGCTCAATTCTGCACTACCAGGTACAGGGTTGTATTTGAGGGCAGAATTTTGTCCTGTTGTCCTTATTCTGATCTCACTTGTGCCTTTTACACCTTCGTAACTCCATTGACTTCAGTGGAGTTATTCTAATTGATACCAGTGTCTGAGAGAGCCGAATCAGGTCTCCTATATGCACAAGGGAGCTGTGTTACAGCTGTTGTGGGAACTACAGGTCTGACCACTCCTCATTTCCTCTAAGGCCACATCTCTGCTTTGGCAATGTAAAGGATGGGGGTTTTAAATGGGCATGAATGTTACGTCCCCTTTGTACTACCTGAGCAGTGTAGAATGGCCTTTTTATAAATAAGAATTAGGCCTTGATTTTTCCTTTTGAAAGATCAGCTTTAATGTTATGTAAGGTTTTTATCATCTCTGATGGATCTATTTTTATAACTTTCCTTTCCTGTTTGGTTAAATCACTATTTTAAAATCTGTTTGACTAAATGCAAGCTAAGATTTTGCAGTTGACCATGGGTTTTTGTAACAGTGTCATCATTGGGGTTTTTGTACATAATTATAGCCTTCATATTCATATGTTTTATTTTTGTATCAATTTAAAAAAAAAATAAAGAATTCATTACACCCTAATTCTGTTTGCAAGTGCAAAATATTTTGGACCGGCTTCTGGGGTGTGGCTAAGCCGCACAGCGCACAAGTTGCGGGGTTAGGCAGAGGGTGTGGAAAGGATGCCTTTGATTTTGCTGCTTTTATGTGCAGGCCAGTTCTCCTGTACATTGGGAGAGCATCCTGAGGTCTGCTTTAATTTACACCAGGCTGCAATGACTGCAGGGGGCTGAAAATGCAGCCAGGGACTGGCGCAGCCACACACCCTTTCCCCTGCTCTGCTGGCAGCAGGGGGGCAGTGATATAAGAGCCCATGTGGCAGCACTGTGCCACCAAAGGATCAATCTTAAAGTAGGGAAATTGTCCATGAGCTAGTTAACATCTGCTTCAGAGCCAGATTATACCTACAGTGTAACTAACATCAAAATCTGCATTTCTCCAGGCAAATTTCCTGGGGATGAAATCTTGGCCCTGTTAAAGCCAATAGCAACATTTCCCATTGATTTCAGTAGGGTCAGGATTTCACCCCAAAGTCAATGCAAGAACTATGGAAGTACGTCCTAAGAGGTAGCAGATAAACTGAGTGACTGAATGCTTTCATGCCTAATCTGCATAAGTCATAGTAATCCTTTTGTTCTTCTACATTTGCCTGGCATCATGGAATCTGCCCTGTCATACATTTTCTATTAATAAAGCAAAATGCACAACCTATAACCTGCTTCACCCACCCTACGCATGATGAAAGCATACCATGCATATTTATACCTTGTTTTATTGTATGTGTGTAAATAAATGCATGTTCATTTCCTGGTATTTAGTTATGCCCATCTCAGACAAAGGTAGAAATATAGGGGCCCATAACAGAATCCAAAGGAAAAACTATAAACAAAACCACAGTTACTTGTCTATATTGGAGCAGACAGGGATAGCACACCTTATAGTTAACTCTGAGTTCCTGTATTAGCTTCCCTCTTTTACTTGCCTCTGGTGGTCTGAACGGGTAGCTGCAAAGAGCACATTATACTAGTCCAGGTAGAGGTAACAAATGTCTAACTTCATTAATGATTTAAATACACTTGTTCTCTTGTTTCCAAGTGTTGTCTTGAGTCCCACAATTAATGCCTGAAGTCATGTGTCCTCTGGTGCAGATAAAGTACCCATCCAATGTCTCCTGGTGTTCCATGCTCTTTACAACCTTTTTCACCATATATGTAGATGGGCTCTACATTTGTAGCACAATGTTCTATGATACGTTGTCGCCTTTATGCATTATTCTCTGTACAGACTGTCAGTTGTTTTGAAATTCTCTCTGAAAGAAACTAGTGTAACACTTAAGAAAACTAATAACCGAAGAAGTCAACTAAAGCCTGGTCAACCCGCCCTCACACGGGTGTAGTTAAACTGGAGCAATCCCCTGTGTTGACACTCGTATTTTGGTTAGAGTGGGTATATTTTTGGCTTAGCTTCAACTTGTTCCCAATGTACTTAAGGTGAATTGAAGCCATTCTTAAATCAAAATAAGTGACTACATGGGAGTTTAACTAAACTGATTTAAATTCACACCTTTAGTTAAGCCAGTGTGACTATCCTTATAGATAAGCCCTAAACTCTCAAGCAGCACCAAATACTCAGAGTAGAGTCTAATGTTCCAGAGGGGGATTCTGAACCCTACTGCACTATTAATAATATTAGCTTGGCACACCCAGCTCTCTGGGTCAAAGGCTGATCTCACTGATTATATTGGCTATGGGCGGAGAGAAAAGGAACGAGATTGTAGAAGTGGGAGGCTAGTGATGACAGAGTTAAAGGTCCGCCACCTCTTTTCTCCTGTCTTGCTAGTGCAGCCTCAATCCACTGCCCATGTTCGTGATTCGGCAGTCGTCACATCTCATCTTTTACCTGAGCTCATTCACTCATTTGTACCCTGAAATTGTGGATGCCTAGAGCAAGGGGGGGACATTCTCTCCGTAAGTTGTGTGTTATTGCTTAAGCATGTTTAAACAGAAGTGCTGGAGTCCTGAGAGCCAGGCTTCTCCTCAATTGCACATGGGTAGGGCAAAGTTTTGGTACCAGAGGACTGTGAAATTACCAGGGTTTCTGGATGACAATATGAACTAGAGGATTTATACCATCCATGGAATGTTAAGTAGTTATGCTTTTATGCCCTCTTGTATGTCACCCTCATGCACTGAACAATCTCTTGGGTTGCATGTGCCAAGCACTCTCCCTCTCACACTTCAAAAAATTCATGGGTTCCATGAAGCCAGCAAGCCATAATGCTCACGCTCATCTCTCTGGTTGCTATTGCTACTGTGCCCGTTCCTATATTTAAACTCGATCCTACAACGAGCTCTGTCCAAGCAGATCACTGCCTGTGTGTGGAGCTCCTTTCAGGATCAGGGCCATAGACTAAACTCTTTGGGACAGAAATTTGTTATCTTTATTCGTACATTGTACCTGCTGTACAGCACAATGTACAGTTATATTGCGAGAGAGAATATTTTGGATTTCCTCTAGTATCCCAGCAACAGCAAAACAGGAATATCCTGTTAAACAGAAAGGGTGGCGGACAAGTCAATACTGTCTTTCACTAGATGGAGCCAAGTTTTGATTAATATATTTTATTTGCAGTTAAAAATAATACTGACAGACAAGCTCTCAGGCTCTGCAAGTCCTCTCTCTGAGTCAGTGGAGAAAAACATAGGAAAAAGGCTGGCCAGGTTCCTATAGTTGACTTTATTTCTGATGATTTAAAGGTGCCCTCTAAAGGATGAAATGGCACTTGTGCTATTTTCATATTCTTTATGGAGCTGAAAGGGTTTTTTTTTTTTTTAAGTTTCTACTTGATAGAAAGGAGTGTACAAGCCCAACTGTTTTCCCCTTTGCAGGGCACCTTTAAAAGGGACTGATCTTAGGGGCTGGGAGACAAATAGTTTAATTCACTAGCGTTCAGTGTTGGAGTTCAAAGTTCATATCTTCTTGTTTAGGTCAACATTTCAAATGCAGCTGGTGGTTTCAAAATAGGGCCTGATCCAAAGCCCCCTCAAAGTCAATGGGAGTCTTCCCATTGGCACCAAGGGGCTTTGGATCAGGCCCTAATGGAGCTCCCTTCATGTCACAAAAATCACCATACAATTATGTCTGCTCAGGAGAAGTCTAGGAACTGACTGGCATGGGTTATATAGTAGGTGCACAAGCAGAGCTGGGTGGGAAAGCTTACTCTGTATTTGCACTGTGCCTGGCATTAGTCAGAGCTGTTAGTCTCTTGAGGTCACCTGTTAGCTGGTTTCTCTCTGATGTTGCAATGCCAGTGAGGAGGAGGAGGATGCAGCAATGACCAAGGGCAGTGTTAAGGAGAGGAGGAAAAGATCCAAAGGTTATATAATCCCCATTCAGATGTTGGCAGGGAGGGGATTAGCCCTCTCCACTTAGAGCAAGGGTGGGCAAACTTTTTGGCCCGAGGGTCACATTGGGGTTGCAAAACTGTATGGAGGGCTAGTAGGGAAGGCTGTGCCTCCCCAAACAGCCTGGCCCCCACCCCCTATCCAACCCCTCCCACTTCCCACCCCCGACTGTCCCCCTCACAACCTCCAACTCATCCAACCCCCCCTGCTCCTTGCCCCCTAACCACCCCTCCTGGGACACCCCACCCCTAACCACCACCCCCCCCAGGACCCGACCCCCTATCCAACTCCCCCCGCTTCCTGTCCCCTGACTGCCCCGATTCCTATCCACATCTCCGCGCCCTGACAGGCCTCCCGGGACTCCCACGCTTATCCAACCCACCGTTCCCCGTCCCCTGACTGCCCCCCCCCCCAAGATCCTCCACCCCCTGCTCCCTGTCCCCCGGGACACCCTGCTCCTTATCCAGTCCCCCCGACCCCCTTACCATGACACTCAGAGCAGCATGTCTGGCCGTCGCACCGTCCGGCCAGAGCCAGACACGCTGCTGCGCTGCCCTGCAGGAGCGCGCAGCCCCGCCACCCAGAGTGCTGCCCGCGCAGCGGCATGGCAGCGGGGGAGGGACCGGGGGCTAGCCTCCCCGGCTGGGAGCTCAAAGGCCGGGCAGGATGGTCCCGCGGGCCATAGTTTGCCCACCTCTGACTTAGAGGAAGAACAGTTGCCTTCCCTGAATGCAGGGATTTACAAATAGCTGGGCTGGTCCAGCTGAGGGAATTCATTTTCTATCCCCCAGTGTCGCTTCTCGGGACAGCAAGGGCTGTGAGTCACCTTGTTACCACCTGCCTCCAGCATGATGGAGTCTGACCTGTGCTAGCTGGGTATTAGCTCCCTTACACAACCAGCCTGTCAGCCACTCTCCTTTGGGCTACACCAACCCTGTCTTCACTTTTGCAGGTTGACAAGAGATGCACCTCAGCCCCCAGGTCCCTTTGAAGTGTCCCTGTGTGGTCTCCAGCCCCTGATCACTGGATACCCACAGAAATCCCACATCCTCTGTTCCCAAAGGAACAGCGTACCACAGTTCACTGCTTTACCTTATACCATTATGCACAGCACTTGAGTTCAATTATAAAACAAAAGGAAGTTTGTTGAAGAAAGAATAAAGATTCAAATAAAAACCAAAGTGAGAGATGGGGACAAATGGTTACATATAAAACAAAATCATACCACGCATTCTAGAGACTAAACCTAACCAAGCTAACCTATCTAAAGCAGATTCTCTCTCCCAAACTTCTTTCCAGTGTTTTCAGCCAAGCCTGGCTGAGATCTCTTTTTCATGAAGCAAACCCACTGCCAGGTTATTTCCTAGCTAAAGGGTGCCAGGGTGTCCCTCTGCACTGCC